ACCCAGGGGAGAAGAACTGTAATTTTGCTACTGTTATGAGTCATCATCTAAATATCTGATGTGCAGGATGTATTTTCACTGTTACAAATTGAACATAATTAAAGCATAGTGATTAATCACAAAAACAATATGTAATTATATATGTGTTTTCCAATGATCTTAGGCGACACCTATGAAAGGGTCGTTTGACCCCCAACGGGGTCGCGACCCACAGGTTGAGAACCGCTGCTCTAGAAGGAGGGGGAATCCTAAGGTACAACCAACAACCCCTGCCACAGTTTTTTCAGTAAGAAGAATTTATTTAATTTTATTTTTAAGAGTTTATTCTTGGTGTAGTGCATTTTATGGGTTTGGACAAATATATATATATTTTTGTCCACATTTATGGTATCATGTATTCACTACCCTTCAAAATCCTCTGTACTTCACCTATTCATTCCTCCCTTTCCACCCTCCATAAACCACTGGTCTTCCTACTGTCTGCAGTTTGTCTTTTCCAGAATGTCATATAGTTTGGAATCATGGAGAATGTAGCGTTTTCAGATTATCTTCTTTCACTTAGTAATATTCATTTATGTTTCCTCCATATCTTTTCATGGCTCAATAGCTCATTTCTTGTTAACACTGAATAATATTCTATTGTAGAGATATAGCAGTTTACTTATTTATTCAGCTACTGAAGGATATCTTGATTGATTCCAAGTTTTGGCAATTGTGAATAAAGCTGCCATGAACATCTGTGTCCAAGTTTTTGTGTGAACATAAGTTTTTATCTCATGTGGGTAAAATCCAAGGAGTGTGATTAATGGATCATATGGTAAGAGTATGTTTAGTTTTATTATTGTTTATGTTTAGTTTTGTAAGAAACTTCCAAAATGTCTTCCAAGGTGACTATACCTTTTACATTCTTACCAATAATGAATGAGGGTTCCTGTTGCTCCACATCCTCACTAACATTTAATGTTATCAGTGCTTTGGATTTGGGTCATTTAATTTCATTTCATTTTTTAAAAAGCATTTTTGTCCACTTCTCACTCCATTGTCTCCCCCCAATGACTAATCAAGCTAAAATGCTGATCTTACCACCTAATGTGCAAGTAAGCATTATTTTCATCCCAATACACAACAGTGGGTTAGTAAATACACAGTCTGAGAAGGTAGCATGAAGACATGTTATATTCAGTTTTACTGATGAGAAATACAGAACAAATGTAGATTCCAGAAAAGTCACTCTGAGGATTTATTATTGATATTTGTTTTTTCCTGTAAGGAAAACTTGAGAAATCTTATTTTTAAAACTTTAAAACTTCTGTATAGTGGTGTAATCATTATTGAAAGGCAAGCAGTAAACTGGGATGTAATATTCACCAAAATATATAACAGACAAATGACTAATACATATAGTTTATATGAAGTTCCTACACAACAATAAGAAGAGATACATAAACCTAGTAGTAACAGTCAAAGGATATGAACATGCAAATGACAGAAGAAATTAAATGGCTAGTAAATAAGAAAAGATACTCAATCTCATCAGAAATTTGGGAAACCCTAATTTAAATAAGATTTTTTTATACATTAGATTGGTAAAACTGAAAAATTGAAGATCATTGATATCCAGTGTTGGTGAGATTATGAAGGAATGGGTAATTCACATACTTTTGGTAAAAGCGTAAATTTGTATAACACTTTGGTAGGCAATTTGGCAGTACTTATTAACATTGTCACTGCAGAAGCACTTTGACTCATCAATTCCATTTCCAGTTATTTGTTCTAACAAATATATACCTGCCCGGCCAGTGTGGCTCAGTGGTTGAGTGTCAACCTATGGACCAACCAGGTTGAAACAGTTCAATTCCCAGTCAGGGCACATGTCCAGGTTGTGGGCTCAATCCCCAGTGTGCGGTCTGCAGGAGGCAGCCGATCATTGATTCTCTTGTGATTCTCTCTCATCTTTTATGTTTCTCTCTCTCTCTCTCTCTCTCTCTCTCTCTCTCTCTCTCTCTCTCTCTTTCTCTCTCCCCCCATCCCTTCCTCTCTGAAATCAAAAAATAAATATATATATATGCAAGTACAAGAATTGCAATGTTTTTTGTAAGAGCTGAAAAATTTAAATACCCTGAATGGCTAACAGTAGAGAAATGGCTATGTTATGAAGTTATAGCATGTCTACCTGTAAGTATTGGCAGGATGAAATCTCAAAATGTATAAAAAATTAAAAATATATATTTATTTTATAAAAGTTTGGTGACACTTAGAATACATACACTAAAATGTATCCACAATGTTTAAGAATAGTAAACAAATTGGGAGTATAATAATGAGGGGAGACTTGCTCCATGAAGTAGCAAGACATACTTTAAGCTGCATTAATCAACATAATTGCAAACCACATTTTGTTTATCCATTCATCCTCTGATTATGGACATTTAGGTTGCTTACAACTTTAGCTATTGTGAATAATGCTGCTATAAACATGGGTATACAAATATTTTTTTGAGATCCTATTTTCAATTCTTTTGGATATATATCCAAAAGTGGAATTGCAGAATCATATTGTAATTCTGTGTAACTTTTTGAGGAATCATCATGTTGCTTTCCCCAGTGGCTGCACTTTTACATTCCCACCAATGGTACACAAGGGTTCTTGTCTCTTCATATCCTTGTTAACACATCCTATGTCCTAGTTTTGCTTGTTTGTTTTGATAGTAGCCATTCTAATGGATATGATGATATCTGATTATATTTTTTATTTGTATTTCCCTAATGGTTAGTGATGTTCAGTATCTTTTTATGTGCTTATTGGGTGTATATATGCACTTTGTTATGGTATAAGAAGTAAGTTAATAATATTAATTATTATGAAGCAGATACTTAAAATATCCCTTACTAATATAGATAAGAATAATTGTGAAATAAATGTATTTATTGACTTTTCCTTTTGAGCTTTAGGCATTGGGGTTTTTGTCTTCTTATGGAATAGGAATGGAATATAATCAAGCCAAGGTAAGATCATTCTATTTTTTTCTGAAGCAAAACTGATTTTTTTAAAGGGACATTAACATTGAATAGAGTCTATTCTTTAGTCAAGGGTGGGAACATCTGGCCCGCAGGCTGTAGAAGGCTGGCAAAATCATTTGATCTGGCCCTGCCAATGCATTAGGAGTGAGTTAATTAAAGGATTGACCGAAATAGCAGGCTGATTTTTAAGTTGATACTTTTGTATGGTGTGCAAACAATGTTATAAACATCCCAATGGCCCTTGGCAGAAAAAAGGTTCCCCACCCCTGCTTTAGCTAAAGAGGCTCACTCTAGTACAGTGATTAAAAGCATCAGCTCAATAGTCAGAGAAGTTTAGGGTTAAAATGCCATAACTTTTTTAATGTTCCGTATTTCAGTTTCTTCATTACAGATAGATAATATCTACTTCATAGGGATTTGTGATGAGTAAATACAATGTCATGTACAATGCCCTTTTCACAGACTGCAGAGATCACTAATACTCCCTCCCCTCCTCAAAAAAAAAAAAAAATACCAACTGTCTTTACACAGGAAGAGAATGAAATTTGGGATTTATTTCAGGTTCATTTCTGTGCTAAGAACAAGAAAAGCAATGATTAGTTTTAGTTTCAAAATTTAGATTATATATATTCATTTATTTTTAACTAGGCACTGATATATTACACTTTTGGAAGTGCTGGAGGAAGCATGATGTCCCAGATGATATTGGTTTGTAAATTAAATATTCTTGGACCCAGATAGTTATGTTGTAAATACAGCATTGTCAGAATACTAAGAATATATATGCCTGTGTTTTAGGGATACAGATATTTGTCAGGAATCAATGTTCTACAGAATTGTGAAGTTGCCCTATATCATTACAAGAAAGTGGCAGATTATAGTGAGTAATCCACATAATTTATTTTAAGATAAACAGACTTGCCAAGCATTTAAAAAATAAATCAATATCAATTGACATATTTGTGAAAGTATCAAAAGACTATGCTTTTAACATCTGTTATAATACAATTCATTTAATGCAATGTAGAGTTTTCTGATTTTTTAATAGCTACTTTTCAAGTTTTAAATTACTGTGCTCATCTTTCATTTTTGTTAGTACATGACCCCAAACAATTCTGTTTTACTTGTTCTTGTGGTCTTCTTTCCTTCTATAGAGAATTTGAATGTAGCATCAATAAATATTAAGATTTATAATATGGCATGACTTGTTTAGAATTCCAGGATAAATGGATGTAAGGTACACACATTGGCGATCTCTATTATTGCACTTAAAAATTCAAGTAATCATTATTCTATCACCCTATCTTTTGTCTACAAAAAAATAGAGCATGAGATTAATTTATGTTACTAGAATAATTTTCAAAGCTGTATGTCACATTTCATCATGCAACATTACTGAATCAGACTACATAATAGAATTTTAAATAAAAGTCTGCCAAGAAGTGAGTAAGGTAAAGTCCATTTGACTAATTTCTATAATCACAACAACATCTAAATACACATTTTTGGCATTATTGGGATCTAAGAAAAAAAGGAAAATAACTGATTTTGAATTTAAGATGCTATGTAAAACAAGATCATTTCATATGTTTAATGAAACTAGAATCACTATATGTACAGTTCAAACTGCATGCTTTGTTGGGTTTATTCAAGCATAGTTATCTTTATATTTCTTTTCAGATTATCCATAGGAAGTAAGGAGAAGTTATTGCTCTTATATTATGGTTTCAGTCTCTGAAAAAGATAGTAGTGGAAGGGGTCAGTTGCTTGTTCCTAAAATCCAAAAAAGCTGTCTTTTTTTCTTTTCTTTTACTTTCGTTTCTTTCCCTTTTTCTTTTCTTTTTTGTTTGTTTTACATTTCACTCTATCTACCAGAGTAGTTATGTTATTAGTCATACAATAACTCTTTTTTTTAAGATGTGACAGGTTTTTGTTGTTGCTTATAATATGATTTTTATTGACTTCAGAGAGAAGAAGAGAGCGGGAGAGAGAAAAGCATCATCAATTGGCTGCCTCCTGCATTCCCTCTACTGGGGATCGAGCTCACAACCCAGGCATGTGTCCTAACTGGAATCAAACCAGTGACCTCCTGGTGCATGGGATGACGCTCAACCAATTGAGCCACACCAGCTGGACAGCTGTCTTTTTTTCTTAAACCTACTTAGCCAAGATCTTCAATAGGGTTTGATATATGTTAATACAAGATTTGTATGGGTTGCAAAGCTTGCTTGCACTTTTCTCAGAACCAAATAAATCCAGCAAATTTATATCACCTTAGGTCACAGTGGTTCTCAACCTTCTGGCCCTTTAAATACAGTTCCTCATGTTGTGACCCAACCATAAAATTATTTTCATTGCTACTTCATAACTGTAATGTTGCTACTATTGTGAATCGTAATGTAAATATCTGATATGCAGGATGGTCTTAGGCGACCCCTGTGAAAGGGTCGTTCGACCACCAAAGGGGTCGTGACCCACAGGTTGAGAACCGCTACCTTAAGCTATTTCCTTTGTTAATAGACCAGATCTCTGCACAACTTAAAGAGAACAGACCTAACAGTGTTCTCTCTAAGTTGACTATTATCTCTTGCAAACGTGTGTATTTTGGCTATTCTCTGGCTTGTTTCTATTCATAGTTGCTGACAAATTGGAAAAAAGTGAAGGTATTCCAGTGGAAAAAGTGAGACTAACTGAGAGACCTGAAAATCTGAGTTCTAACAGTGAGATTCTGGATTGGGACATATACCAATACTATAAATTTTTGGCCGAAAGAGGAGATGTGCAGATACAAGTAAAGTATACAGACAACCTTGAATTTTAAGAACATGTAAATTACAAGGGGCTTGATTTGCTCTGAGTCTTAGAGGGGTTAACAGTGCCCATCCTAAATGAGAAAGGGAAGAGACACCTCTCCTCTTTGTCCTACTCTTTTTTTACCCCCTGCTACTTGCAGTTTCTATGGCTTATGGAAGAGCCAGTTGCCATAGTAATGACAATTTTTTTTACATTTACTCCTAAAAAATCATTTTTAAAAAACATAGATTTTAATTATAGAAAAAGGCACCATCCAGTGTTGATTTTAATATAAATGAACTCCTTCTTACCAGGACCCAGAAATGTTCTGTCTATGGGAGTGAGAAAGGGATGGCCTTTGTGAGCCTTTCAGAGCCAAGAGTTAAGGGCTCTAGGTTTATGTGCCCACGTGTTGCTATACACTAGCAGGCCACTCATTGAAGAAGCCATATGTTCAGCATCAACCAATTACCTAATGAAAGATATAGTCTGGAATGTTTTCCTGCTTTTTTTAAAGACATGCCAACTGCATCCAAGTGGATCAACATACTATAGTAAAATCACCAAGTGAAATTTTTCTTTTATTTACTTAAATTAATACAACTGCTAAAATAATTTTCAAAAATCATATTTTCTAGGTTTCTCTTGGACAATTACATCTAATTGGGAGGAAAGGTCTAGATCAGGATTACTACGTAAGTCAACCTCAAGATTTCATCATGTGGGGAGGGGAGCATAGTAGTGAGGGAGGATGGTGAGCCAGTGAAACGGGAGGGGGTGTAGAAGAGTTGCTGGGGGTGTAAAAGAGAAGCCCGCTACTGCTTCCTTGGTCAGATCAGTTTTCCAGCTTTTGAGGAAGAACAAGTTCATCAGAGGGAGCACCCTTCCTACCTGCCTCCAAGGACAAAGGGGTAGGGGCTTCTGAAGCAACACTTGGGCCAGGGGCGTTCCCATGCTCTGAACCTAGCCTCTTACAATCCAAAAAGACTTTTGGACTAGGGTAGGATAAGGAGGATACCCCACCTGCTGGCCTTGGACTTGCCCATTCCCCAAATCCACCTGCAAGTCTCCAGCTAAGGAGCCTGAGGACCAGCCTCAGCCCCATTTAGCTGGATCAGAGGACAGACAGCTTTTAATGTAATTAGAAGAATTATTCATCATATTTATGAATTTGCAAAGCTTCTTTCAATCACCTTGCTTAACCTTACTCTATCCCAGTGAGGTTAGAAGATTAATTAACAGTTCAAATTTAGTGAAGAAAGAGCAAATCCTATACAGGATCTTCCTCAATTAGATACCAGAGCTCTGGGATGAGATCCTGTCTAGATCCTGACTGTGATTTCAAGGCCCTAGATCCCCATAGACCTGGGGAAGTAACTAGGATTCTTTTTATAAGATGATTTTTCAGCCCTTGTTATTTTATAGGAGCCACGTGCTCAAAGGAGCACACACCCTATTTTAACATGGTCCCAAAGGCTAAGCAATAGAAATTACTTTCTAAGGCAGTTACTTAGAGTGATCTGATATTACCTCCCATCTCATTTCATATTGTTATGATATGAGTATGTCATTGGTAATATAGTTTGTTTTATATGAGATATAGTATATATTATGTACATTCAAAGTTCATAAAATGTGATAAAAATAGGTAGCAATTGAAATAAGCATATGCTTATGAAGGTCTTCAGATTAAATTATCTTTATCATTAGCCAAGGTTTTAGTTCTTTAGATGGGAATTTCTGGATTCACAATATTACTCCAAAGTCAGATTTCAGCCTGCAATGAATTTCTCATGCAACCATGGGATGCATAACTAAGAAGAATTCTCCATTTTCCACAAGCATGAAGCTTGATCATTAAGGCATTAAAGTTTCAGCTACAGAGAAAATCCACCAATCTTTGTAGAGTGCATAAAACCCCACAAAACTAGGTACTTCTGGTCAATTCCAGCCACCTAGCTTTGTGAACACCAGATGGGAGGTAGCTGCCTCGAGGTGAGGATGAAGTGCTATCCAAGGCTGGCATTGAAGGATTCTGCTTATGTAGTGGCAACAGCCAAGCAGTTGGCATCACTCAGGAGTTCAGTCTAGCCCTCCCATGAGCTCAGTCACAGGGATTTTACATCTCTATTATACAGATGTGGAGCTGAGGCTAGAAAATGAAGTAAGTTTCTTCAAGTCTCACAACTAGGTAGTAAGGTTATTATGAAGCTAAATTTGAACATAGGGCTTCAGCATTTAAAACCTGTGCTCTTTCCATTAAACCTTATTTCCTTTGACCTGGGGGGAGAAGAGGAAAATAGGGATTCTAAAATCTAGTTTCCTCTCTTATAAAGCAAAAAGAAGGAATGACATAATCTCTCAGGTTGCTTCAGATCTAACTTTCTGATGGTGGGTTAGGCCCCATTCTTCCCATCCATACATCTCAAAATATCTGGTTTAGCCCTGACTGGTGTGGCTCAGTTGGTTGGAGCATCATCCAGAGTGCTGAAGGGTCATGGGTTTGATTCCTGGTCAAGGCATATACCCAGGTTGCAGGTTTGATCCCTGATAGGGGCACATATGAGAGGCAACCAATTGAGGTTTCTCTCTCTCTCTCTCTCTCTCTCTCTCTCTCCCTCCCTACCTCCCTCCCTTCCTCCACTCCCCCCGCCCCCTTCTCTCACTCTAAAATCAATTTTTAAAAAGCCACACAATATATTCTTGGGTGAGAATGGGGGGTGTTAATTCCACGACTCCCCCTCCCCCCATGGTTCAGGCACATTCTGGTGCATGCACAGGCTGGTCCTTGCTGCTTTTCTCAACCTAATACACTGGAATTTGCATGGGAGACTCCAGTCAAGGTCTAGGAGCTCAAGATTAGTTGGCTTATCAGTTAGTTTAGGCTGCATCAGAAACCACTCCCAAATTTAGGAAGCTTATAACAACAACCACTTATTTAATTCATGATTTTGATTGAGCTCAGCAGAGTAATTCTGGTCTTGGCCAGACTCAACTAATGTTGGCTGGGGTTGCTCATGCATCTGTAGTTAGCTAGAGTATTATTGCCCAGAGCTGGCTGGCTTATGATGGCCTCATCTGTGACAGGATGACTGGATCTCTCCATATGCTCTCATTCTCCAGCCAGTTGGCTCAGGCTTTCACATAGCTGTCAAATTGCTTTTGTCCTAAGGTTCTAAGAACAGAGAGCAGAAAGTCTGTTGAGGCATATGGTCAGAACTCACAAATCACTTCTGCCACATTCATTTAGCCAAAGCGAGTCACAAGGCCAGCAGCATTGAAGAGGTTAGGAAAAAGGCATCTCCCCCTAATAGGCAGAACTGCAGAGTATTGTGATGGTCATTTTTGCAACAAGCTTAGTTGCACCAGAATCGACTTGGAATGGCCTGGGAAATGCAAAGGGGAGAGAAAAGATAAAAGTATAAACCCAAATTCTGAAAGACTTACTATAGATCTTCCCATGGCTAACTTCTCATCCTTTAAGTCTTACCTCCTCAGAAAAGATTTTATTGATCAACTCTACTCTTCCATCGCTTATCATATCACTCTGTGTTTATTTTCTTCTAGCCTGTATCACTCTCTGAACTATATTGATTTTGACGTATTTATTGTCTCCCCAAATGGAATATAAATTCTTATCTGTCTTGCTCACTACTATGTATCCTGTACTCAGATTGTACCTGGTACTTTGAAAAAAGTTACACAGAATCATAATACTAGAGCTGGAATGGGCCATAAATATTAAAATCCAGCCCCCTTGTATAAATGTACTAGAGGCCCGGTGCATGAAATTCGTGCACCAGTGCATTCCCGAGGCCCAGCCAACAATCCAAGCATGAGTGTCTAGCATAGAAGGGCAGGTCCCAGCTGACCTCTGGGCCAAGTACATGGAAATTGGATTCAGGCTTTTGGGACTCCAGTACCAGCTGCATGACTCTTGAGTGTCACTAAATAGACTCAGATATTAATAATACCATCCTTATAGTGTCATTGTCAAGATTATATAAGAAAAAACTATAAACTACTTATCACATAACTGGTTTGTATTATTTCATACTCTTCTGATTATTTTTGGTGTTCCTTTTATCCCACCTATCATCTATTATCTTACTGCTATTTACATATATTCCTTTCTTCTCATCAGTATTGCTAGGGAGCAGATGTTGACACAGTGTTTTTTGTTCATCTATGAATCACTTAGAATATCTTTCATATTATCATATATACAGTAGTATGGAATCAAGTGTTTGAAAGGATAGATGAAGAACAGAAGAGGTGGATGGATGATGGGTGCATGATGTGATGAGGTCCAGCACCAGACAGACTTTACTAACAAGCGTGTGGTTGTCAAATAAGTTGGCAATATTTCTAGAGCAAATCCTATATAATAAAAGACTAATATGCACATCGACCAAACAGCGGAACAACCGGTCGTTATGACTGACCACCAGGGGGCAGACGCTCTATGCAGGAACTGCCCCCTGATGGTCAGTGTGCTCCCACAGGGGGAGTGCCACTCAGCCAGAAGTCCTGAGCTGGGCTCATGGCTAGCAAGCACAGTGACAGTGACGGGAGCCTCTCTCACCTCCACGGCAGCACTAAGGATGTCTGACTGCCGGCTTAGACCCGCTCCCTACAGGCAGTCAGACATCTCCTAAGGGCTCCTGGACGGCACAGGCCAGGCTGAGGGACCCCCGCCCCCCAGAGTGCACAGATTTTATGTACCAGGCCTCTAGTTTATATACAAAAATACTACCCTCATGTTTTCCTTAAACATTCTCTCCTCTTTGTGAAGGAGCAGAGCCTTGCACATCAACTGAATCAAGGCTATTTAAAGAGCAGTAGAATTGTGTCCTAATAAGACACTTTGGAGAGTTCTGCACCTCTCATTCCTGGGGCTGATTTCTTTCATTACTCCATGTGGCCTCTGAGGAAAACTTCTGGAAGTTCAGGGTGAGGCTAGGGAAGGTACAGGGCAAACCTTATGCGTTCTAGACTGAGCCATTCATTTAATGTCATGGCCTAGAGAGAATCAGAGGCTTTGCTGGTCTCCTTCAATTTGACTTAGAAAGAACTGGCTTGAAGTTCACCTCTGCAGGAAGAGCTGGTCTCAGCAGGCAGCCATGTGTGTCTGGTCCTATTCACTCTGCCTCATAAACATTAGGATAAATCCTGCCAGTTATGTAAACTGCCTTGTGAGTACAGAGTATCAACATAAATGCTTACTTTTTCAAAATACTAGACTGTTAGGTCTGCAGCTGGGACTCATTTGTCCTCCACGAAGCCACATGCCCATCGAGCTTTTCCCAATGTGAGAAGTCCTCACATTCTAAAATGTATATGAGATAGATATATAATCTCCAGCTCTTCAGGTTTATGGTTCAAATAGCATTTGGAATAATACCTTGAAGAAAGTGGGCATTTCATAGATATTTTTGAATGCATGTTGAATGAAATTGTTTGCTTAAAAAAAAACCATTTTTGTAGGATATGTTTATGACTACCAATAATGCTGTTCGTTTTCTCTCCAGAAAGCATTATACTACTTCTTAAAGGCAGCAAAGGCCGGGAGTGCAAATGCCATGGCATTCATAGGAAAGGTACATGCTTCATCTTGATGAATAATTTTCATTTCTTAAATGGTATCAGCTATTGAACCCAGCGTAGATACAATGATGCAGGCCTCTTTCACGAAGCAGCTGAGAGAGGCATGTGGCTATACACTGAGGGTAGTATTCCTGAGGTCATAGTTTGGGAAGGAGCCCCACAAAACAGTAGCTTTTATCTGGGACACCAAATGCAACCTTGAAAGTGCACCTGTCTTAGGGCTCCTTGATTGAATATAGCTCAGAATCCCTCCCATGACCCCTTCCCCTGGCATGTAACAGGAAACCCGCGATGATTGTGCATCGAAGACTGGTACAGTCCTCAATCCAATGAGTGCCTCCTTCCTTAACTCCAAGAATGAGACCCAGATCCAGGCTGACCAAAGTGCAGCCTTGGGCTGCCTCTGATGGGAGTCCTCTCCGGCTCCTGGGCAGCCTTTGTAGAAGGTGCCTTTAGAAGGGTATGTTCTGTCTTCTTCAAAGACCACCACTCGCTCTGCCAGGTGCTGCCTTTGGTTCCCTGCAGCCAGTTTGCATTTATTAGTAACCATGGGGACAAGTGCCCTGCTTCCAGAAGTGCAATCTACAGTAAATGTAGATACAGGAAACATGAAAAAACACACAAATAGGGCTCATGTTTTGGTCCTTGTGCAAGGTCCCTCCAGAATGTATGAGGTAGATTGTTTCTTTAATTTTTCCTTTTTAAAAAATTGAAGTGAAATTCATGGAACATAAATTAACCATGAAAGGTATGCATTTCAGTGGCATTTACTATATTCACAGTTTTGTGTAACAATCACCTCAAATTCCTTAGTTTTTACACTTTCTTTAATTTTTTTCTAGATGTATTTAGAAGGGAATGATGCAGCACCACAAAATAATGCTACTGCTTTCAAATACTTTTCCATGGCAGCCAATAAGGTATGTACTCAGCCCATTTCTGCAACTG